CAAACAAGACACTCTCAGTGTTGTTGCTGGTAGTCACAAGGCTGTAAATAGATCTCTTGAACGTCCTCCTACCTTTTGCCCAACGACCTCCCCAGCCCCTTGTACCACCCCACTCTGCGCTGAGCTGAGCTGTTTTATATTGCACCTATGAGTCAGATCATACACACTTGTCATTCTGTAATGATCCCTAGTTCCTTACAGGTTGCCGTAGACGACAGAGTCTCCTTCAGAAGGCTGTATAGTATTCCACAGTTTGACACACTTTTGTTATCGGCATATCAGTTGGTGTGCACCAAGGTTGTTTCCATTTCATGGCTTTCGTGATATTGCTGCAGTGAACATGGATGCAGATGTCTTTGACACACTGATTTTATTTCCTTTGGATGTATGCCCAAGAGTGGGATAGCTGGATTTTCATTTTCTGAAGAACCTCCCTGTTGTTTTCCACAATGATTGTACTAATCTCCATTCCTGCCAAGGGTATAGGAGGCCTCCCTTGTCTCCAGGTCCCCACCATCCTTGTTCTGCCTAGTCTTTTTGATATCAGCCCTTCCCGCTGGACTGAGGTTTGATTGGCATTTCCCTGATGACTGGGAGCATATTTCATGTACCTATTGGTCATTGTATGTCTGCTTTGGAGAGATCTCTCCATGCCCCTTACCTGGTTTTAAGGGGTTATTTCTCGCTCCTAGGTTGTTTGGGTTCTCTATATACTTTGGAAGCTTGCCCCATCTCAGAGGTCTGGTTAGCGGGTATTTCCCTCTGTTCCACAGTAGCCATTTCCCTCTGTTGTTGTCTCCTTGCTCATATCTTGGTGCAATCCAGTTTTCTGTTTTTATCATGTTACCTGTTACCTGTTATGTCACCTGTGCTTTGGGGGTCACCAGTGATTTCCTGTTTTTAGTGTTTTCAGGACTCAGATTTAGGTAATCCATTTGGGGGTTTTCTGTTTTTGTTTTTGTTTCCTTGTTTTGACAGGGTCTCATGTGTCCATGCTGTCCTCAAATTCACTGTGAGCTCTGATCTTCCTGCTTCCACCTCCTCAAGTGCTGGGATTACAGGCATGCACTACCATGCTGTTTGTGCAGTACTGGGGATGGAACCCAGGGCTTCATGATCCTAGGCAGGCACATCTGAGGCAGGCGCTCTGCCAAATGTGCTGCATCCTCAGCCCCTGTTTGATCCATTTTGGATGTGTATGTATATGTAAAGATGAGGGTCCCACATGTAGCTAGAAATAGGAGCATAGAGAAACAGACGTGGTATATCATTGAGTTGTGAACTTTGTTTGACCAGAAGACAGTATAGAGTGCATGAAGCCCCTGACCTCAAGAGAAGCTCATATCCCTCTCTCTCTGGAGGGACTTCTGTGCCCAGCTGGGTGGCTGTGCTGAGCTGTGTAGCTGGCTCTGTCTGCCCATGTCAAGCCAGATGCCCACCAGTTCCAGGTAACAGCTGCATTGAGCCTGCTAGCAAGTGCTCTGTATGTGGCAGGCAGCTGGTCATGTGGGCAGGGCCTGTGCCATGCTGTGCCAGGCCATAAGGGTGCCATCTGAGCTGCGGAGCCATCACCTCTGGGTGGTGGGCCATGTGGGCAGGCACCGGCTGCCTTAGGCCAGTGTGCAGGCCTAGGGTAGAGGAGAACCTGGGTAGGCCTGCACCACTTGCTGCATGTTTGTGAGAAGCCATCTGAGCCTAGGGATATGCACAGCCATGTGGAGAAGAATGTGCTCTCCAGCCCCAGGTGGCCTGTCCTGTTTCCCTCTGTTCCAAGCCTGGCTGCAAGCTGCTGGCCATTGCTGACTGTGGGGTGTTGGGTAGACTTGCCATGAGGTTACTGGGTATCTGGGGGATGGTGGATCGGGTGGAGCCAGCTCTTTTCTGCTTTCTTACACAGTCTAGCATGTGTGAGGACCTTGAGGCACATGCTCTCACTTAAGATAGAGTTATGTCCGAAGAAACCTATGATATGTCATAAGCCAAAAACTCATGAAATATACTCAGCCTTCCAATATCATGGCTCAGGCCGACTGCTTCATGTCACTTTTGAGCATCGGTATTCCTCACTGGGCTAGCTGTAAGGAGCCCAGGAAGGGGCAGAAAGCAAATCATACACAGTACCTTCTTTCCTGGATTCCTATCACTTTCACACCATTGTAAAGTTGAACCTGTGTAAATGGGGACCATCAGTAGCAAAGACTTCTCTCCAGCTTTCCTTTCCTTTCCTCTTCCTCTCCCCTCTCTCTCTGAAAGGTTCTGCAGCTCAGGATGACTTTGATCCTCCTGCCTCAGTCTCCTGAGTAGCTAGGATGACAGGTCTCTGCTATGTGTGGTTCTTCAGTGAGGCTGAGCGCTCTCATGAATTCTAAGAGCAGTTTTATTTCTTCTAAAAAAAACTTTGTGTGTGTGCACACGCGCACATTTGGAAGTCAGAGGACAACTTGCTGGAGTTGGTTTACTCCTTCCATGTGGGTACTGGAGACTGAATTCAGGTAGACAGGCTTGGCAGCAAGTGCCTTTAACCTGCTGAGCCACCTCACGAGTCCCCGCTCCTGGGTTTTAAGTGCAATTTTGTTTCCTTCCTTTGTATTTGTATAACTTTTGCCCATTTTCTTTATTTTTTTACTGATACATAAAGTTGAGGGGCTGGAGAGATGGCTCAGCGGTTGAGAACACTGGTTGTTCTTGCAGAAGACCCGGGTTTGAATCCCAGCACCCACATGGCAGCTAACAACTGTCTATAACTCCAGTCCCAGGGGATCTGACAGCCTCTTCTGACCTCCGCAGGTATTGCACAACAGGGTGCACTTACCTACATGCAAGCAATACATGCACATAAAATTTAAAAATAATAAAGTAAAATAAATTATCTATAAAGTTGTACACACTAAGGGTTCCAGTGATTTTTTTATATGTACATGTGCTATATAGTATTGAAATCAAGGTATATCTTCTGAAACACCTCAGTTCTCCAATATTCACAATCTTTCTAGCTTCTTGAGCTATACAGTACATTATTGCTATTTATTTCTGATCACAATGACCAAAAACAACTTGAGGGAGGAACGGTGCATTCAGGTTCACAGTTTTACAGGGTTTCAGTCCATCATAGTGAAACTGTAAGGTGGAAGCTGTTCACACATCACTGCAGGTCAGGAAGCTGAGAGTGTGACAGGAACCAGGGGCTGAGCACAACCTTCCAACACCCACCCCTACCATCCCCCCTCTGCCATCTGGGCCACACACACCTCCTGAAGCTTCCACAGCATCCCAAAACAATGCTACCAGCTGGAGACCAAGTGTTCAAAACACAAGCAAGCCTATGGGACATTTTGCATTCAAAGCTTAGCATCTGCAGTCATCTCCTGGGCAATAGCACCCTAGAACCTCTCACTCCTCCTGCTTTGAGTGTTTTTGACTACTTCCTGTGGTTATTCATTTATGGGAAGATATATATGTCCACGGCCTGCCAAATCCACCCCCCTAACTCCCCTGTTTTGGTTCTGGGAAATAACTTGCAAACAGCTTCCTAAATTTATCCATTGGTCTTTTAACTCTGTGTTCTTTTTTAACCCCCGAAGGTTCTTAGTCCTTTTAGCTAGTCAGATGCATTTGTTCCCCAACACCTCCTGCTCTTAGCCACAGAGAAAGAATTCCTTATCCCAGGGTTATCTTATGACCCCTCATCCTTCCTTCCAGCACTTATGTGGGCTATTTTTGCATTTGATGTTTGAGTTCTGGGAAACTTGCCCTGATTGGGTGGTCCCCACCTCCTTCCCAACCCTGGGGCCCTCTCCATCAAGCTCTCCAGATCCCTGAATCCTAGCCCTGTTACTGTGCCCCTGCGTGTTGTCCCTCTGATGACCCACCTACACCCACCTCAATACAGAGTCTTCCTGAGCTCTACACTGTATCTACCCAGACTGAAAAAGTGTTCTGAGACAGGGTCAGCCACAGAAGGACAGTAGATACTAGCCCAGACAGGGGTTCTGAGTTCCTCAAGTTCCTGTTTACATGTTGAAACACATTTTCCCAAGAAGTCGGGGACACCATGTCTTCATTCCCCTCTGGGGCAGAGCATGAACTGATGTTGTCTGGACATGTCCACATTGTCCAGGCATCAGGGAGAAGCTTGGAACTCCCCATTAGCACTTCCCTACCCCGACCCTTGTCTCCCCTCTACTTTCACAGCCTGCCCCTTGTCCCTCTCTACCTGTCTGAAACCCCAGTTGTGCTTTGTAGCTGGTCCCTGGAGCAAGGCCCTCCTAAGGGCCTTGACCATGGATGATACAAAGGTGGGTAGATGTGTCCTCTTTGAGCACAGTAATAACATTCTTGTCTTGTGAACTGCCCTGGTTTTTGTTGTACAGGGCTCCACTATGTCCAGCTCATCAGCCTTCCCCTGACCCTGCTCTTAGTAGGGCCTGAGGCCTCAGGTGTCAGGGCCTGAGGCTTGAAGCTGTCTATGTGAGCTCAGCTGGTAGACAAGTCCTGAACTTTATCTTGGAGCTCCCTGAGACTTGCTTTGCTAAGCTCCTTCTGATGGTCCCTAAGCCTTTGAGATGAAGACCTAGCCCCTGATGGTTCAAGGTTTCTGTGACTGGGCCCTGGCCCTGCTGGCCTTATTAGCGTCTTCCTAACCCAACTTTCAGAGCTCCTGTCTGACAGGTGCCTTCTCTATAAGGCCTTGTGTCTGTACCTCGAGGCCCTTCCCCCGTCTAAACTCCTGAGGCCTTGCCCTCCCTCACCTCTACACCACTGAGACTCTGTCCCTTCCTTCTGAATCCCTAGTGTAGACCCTACCCAGCAGAGTAGACATCATACTGGCCCCTGCATGGGGCTCAAATGAAGAGGGCTCTGAAAAGCTGGCACTCACGTAATCCTTAGTTGCTGCTGAAGGTAGTTGGGGAAACCATTTACACAGATGCTGGTGATGGAAGGGCCCATATCCATGTTCATGTTGAGGGGACAACTCTTGCTGTTCAGGAAAAAGGCTAGAGATGAACGTGCATGGGGCCATGCTACACCTGTGAGTGTAAGCACAAAGCCAGCAGAACTTGGGATGTCAGTCCTGTGATAGATCAGAATATAATATGGTGGGAAGACAGGTGACTACCTCCAAAAGCCTAGGAGCTCAAGTCTTAAGTATTGAAGCAGCTGGGGGCTTGGCTCCGTGTGGGATGGGCCATGCTGTGTTTGGTTTGGGTGGAAAGAGAGCCAGCCCTTTTGATGGATGAATACTCTAGGCAGGGGCCTTGGTGGAGGGTATCAGGGGAGTGGCTAAAAGCCTGAGATAAAGGGAGCTAGGGGTCAGGCAGGTCTGGACCTGGGGAAGGAGATGACAGTCACTGAGGAAGAAGAGGTCATGAGGCTGAGGTCCAGGCTCTCTGCATCTCATGTAAAAAGTTCCTAGGGAACTAGGCATGGTGGCACAGTCCTTTAATCCCAACATTCAAGGTGGAGGCAGGCAGATGTCTATGAGATAGACGCCAGCCTGGTATATGTAGGGAGTTCCAAGCCAGCTGGAGTTACAGGGAGATCCCAACCCCCCCAAAAAAAATTCTTAGGGGCAACCTGTAAGGCTAGCTGGGGACTATCTGGTCTCCCTGCCCTACAAAGACATGGAAGCTTGGTAGAGGGAACAAGGGGCTTGTTTCCAGCATATGTGCAGGAATGCGTGTTTCTCCAGGGACCAGTGTGCTGAGGTCCTGAGGCTGAGGCTGAGTCTATCACAGTCAAACCACAGAGCATCCAGACAGGCTATAGGACAGCAAGGAGGAGGGAGCCCAAGAGAATCCCAACTGGTGATAGAGAGTAGGGTCCCCAGGCTTGGGAGGAGGACAGTATGACATCGTCTGGGGTCTTGGACCTAGCCCTTTCTCCTAATGATAGTCCTATACTGCTGTGCTCTTAAGGGTGTGGTTTGGGTGTGGTCTTTCTCCATCTGGGCTGGCCTCAGCTGGAACAGTGAGGACAGCTACATGGCTTTTGGAGGCCATGCCCAGGCAGCATTAGAGCTCCCAGACATTCTGTAGGAACAGGGCAGTCTTGATGGCTGTGAGGACTGGCAGGAATGTCTCCATTCACTGCCTGGTTCTTTCTAGGTTCCCTGGACCTGCATGGCTCTGGTCTCACTGGCCACTGCTCTCCTCTGACTTGGCTCTATGTGCTGATTCCTCTGTCCCCAGGGAGGCTCTGAGCTGCCTTAGTCCCAACAGTCCTCCCCACTCGCCCTCAACTCTGCATGGCCAGGGCTCACTCTTTCTTCTCTGTCCTCAGGCTGACAGGCAGTGAGCCCCTGACCATTCTTCCTCTGACTCTGGAGACCGAGGCAGCAGCCCAGGCACACTACAAGGCCTGTGACCGGCTGAAGCTGGAACGCAAGCAGCGCCGCATGTGCCGCCGGGACCCAGGTGTGGCTGAGACACTGGTAGAGGCTGTGAGCATGAGTGCACTTGAGTGCCAGTACCAGTTCCGTTTTGAGCGCTGGAACTGCACCCTGGAGGGCCGTTACCGAGCCAGCCTGCTCAAGCGAGGTGAGTGCCAGCCCCCAGCCATGACCCACTGTGGACACACAGGGGGATGCATACCATCAGCCTTGACTAGGTAGTGTAGAGCCCAAAGACAAATCCTCTCTGCCCTCCTTTCACTGGGAACAAGGGCTCATGGGAATCTCTCTGTAACCCTAAAAATTGGGGAACTGAAGCAATAGAAGTGTAATTTAGAGGTAGATTACGTGTCAGCATGTGTGCATAAATTAGATGATCGATGATAGATAGCTGATAGATAATGGATAGATTGAAAGATAGATAGATGATAGCTGATAGATGATTGAAAGATAGATGATAGATAGATAGATGCATAAAAGATAGATGATAGATAGATAGATGATAGATATAGGACCTGAAGTCTAAGGCTGGATTTGCCAAGGGCCCCAGGGACAAGCGAAGAGATTGGTGACCTGAATAATATCTCTGACCATCAGGCCAGAGGTACCACAGTGGGCTCTGAAACCTTACTCACTTTCCACCCCTCCTATACCACTGCGACCCCAGCACCTCTGACTCTCCACATACCAGCTCAAACCTCAAAGTCATGGTGCCCCAAACCCTGCCTTAGTATACATGTGAAGTTAGTAGGTTGAGTTGTAGAGCTGTAGCCGCTGGACCTCACTAACTCCACTACTGTCTGCAGGCTTCAAGGAGACCGCCTTCCTCTATGCCATCTCCTCTGCGGGCCTGACACATGCACTGGCCAAGGCATGCAGTGCAGGCCGCATGGAACGCTGCACGTGTGACGAGGCACCTGACCTGGAGAACCGTGAAGCCTGGCAGTGGGGTGGCTGTGGAGACAACCTCAAGTATAGCAGCAAGTTTGTCAAGGAGTTCCTGGGCAGGCGGTCGAGCAAGGATCTTCGAGCCCGAGTAGACTTCCACAACAACCTCGTGGGTGTGAAGGCAAGCGGGGTGGGGCACAGGGTGGGATGGGGGGAACTGTGTCTGAGAGGAGCTGGGCTCCCGGTGAGTAGATAGGGTTGAATACAAGGTAGGCATCTACAGATCAGGTGAGAGAAGCTGGGTGCAGGGTGATTGGGGCTGGGCATGGAGTGGATGGGTTAGGGTGAGTGAGTGGACCCAAGAAGGAAAGAGGTGGGGAGGAAGCAGGAGCTGTCTCTGTTCCAGTCATGCAGTACCAGCCACCTGGAGTGCTGCTTACCTCTGGGACAGATGGGGTCGCTGGTCATGGAGGGGTGTCTTGTGGTAGTCTAGGGAGAGATCTTCTCCCTCCACCACTGCATCAGTCCTTGGTGATTTGAGACACACCCCCCCCAGGAGGGTGTCTCTGGATAGTCTATCCCAGAGGATGGTGGTCTGTACCCTACCTATGGGGCAACCTACAGGGTCGTCAGCAGAAATGGGGAGCAGCCACAGGGTGGCAGGTAGACAGTTCCAATGAAGAGCTGAGGGTATAGAACCCATTTGCCCAAACCAGGGGTACCCAACGCTGTCTGTGGCCAAGACTGTATTTTGGAGGACAGAGACTCAACTTACAAAGCAAAGGAAGAGGGCTTTCTTAGCTTTCTAGTAGGCCTTTGGGGGCTGTGGGCTGTAGGCATGACCAAGCCCTGGGGGTACCTGGCCTCTTGACTGTCCTGCCATTGAAAGGGAGCGAGATAGAACCTCTAGCATCCCCCATCGCATCCCTGAAAGACCCAAATTCCAAACTGTAGCCTGGGTTTGGGAAGGCAGGGCTCACACTTCCCTGACGAGCTGGGAGCCTCGCTTGGTTCTGCTTCCCCAGTCTGGAGAGGACATCGAGGTAATTAGATTCAGTCCTGCCCTGAGCTCCTTGTTATTGAGAAACTGGAGTTCTGAATCCCCCACTTATTAAAGCATGGTCTGCCTCCTTTCCATCCAGTGCCTTCCCAGGCTGTGGCTGGTGGGGAGGGGAAGCCCAGGAGGGTGGATTCAATCCCGAAGCCAGGCTGTTCTTTTCTTTCCTGCTGGACTCCTCCCTCCCCACCTTGCCCTTTTGAGCGATTAATGAAAAGTCAGAACGTGTGAACGTGCTCCATCAGCTCACTGCTCTCTGGCAGCCGTGTTTTAATTAAATTTGTCCGGGTTTCTCAGGAAAGCATGGTTAAGTGGGACTCTCCGGTTGCCTGGCAGGAGGGTGAGGAGGTGACTACACTTTTTAATCCCTCTCCAGTGGCCGCTCCTGGGAGTTAGCTTGGGAGCTCAACAGTGGCTCAGGGCCCACCTGGGAAGAGATTTCCCCCTCCCTGACATTCTTCTGTCCCATAGCTCCCCAAGATTTGAAGCAACACCTACAGGAACCCTGGGCATGAGAAGTCAGACAGGAGCTCCCTCAGGGTGGAACCCTAAATCATAAGAGGGGAAAGACCCAGCCAGGGCTCCCTGGCAGCTTTCCAGACCTGGAATTTTAGTGCTCAACCATGCCTGCTCCTACCCATGGCTGTGGGGTGAAGGGTGCAGCCTCCTCCAGGGGAACAGGCACGGAAGCTCTCCTAGCTGCTGCATTTTCTTAAGTTACCTTCATCATGGTGTGTGTCTCTGCACTTCTGTGCATCTGCAGTCTGTACCCTCTGATACCACACTGGGTAGGGCTTGAGTTATGTCTACATGGAGCCCAGTACACAGGGTGGGGTGGGGGTCAGCGTGGGGGTGGGGAAGCAGTATTGTCAGCCCAGATATGGAGCTCTGAGGCACCCTTGTCTTTATCCTGTGAGCAGTGTGCTGAGCCCAGACATGAGACCCTGGCAGGACTGAGATTATTGACGATGAGGACAGGGATAGGCATAAGGTTGGGCAGGAGATGTCTCAAAAGGGTGTGGACCAGCTTGTGCCCACAGAGGCTCAGAGGACTACGCTGAAGACCAAGGTGCTGGCCGTTGGGTCTCTGTCTCCCAGCAGTCCTGACTTGGAGGGATAGTAGCCAGCATGTGAGCCTGGTTGCTGGGCTCCCTATGTGCTGCACAGTGCTGACCCCTGCTGGCTGGGCCCGGGTCTAGGCCTGTGTGAGGGGTACAGAATGGGCAACCAGGGTGGGCTGAGGTTCCAGCCTCTCTGGTGTCCTCTGAAGAACATATCTCTAGGCCTTTCTGGAATGCTATAACACCCAGACTCCTCCTTGCAGGTGATCAAGGCTGGGGTGGAGACCACCTGCAAATGCCATGGCGTGTCTGGCTCCTGCACAGTGCGGACCTGCTGGCGGCAGCTAGCGCCCTTCCACGAGGTGGGCAAGCACCTGAAACACAAGTATGAGACGGCACTTAAGGTGGGCAGCACTACCAATGAAGCTACCGGCGAGGCAGGCGCCATCTCCCCACCACGGGGCCGGGCCTCAGGGTCAGGAGGTGGTGATCCACTGCCCCGAACACCAGAGCTTGTACACCTGGATGACTCTCCCAGCTTCTGCCTGGCTGGCCGCTTCTCCCCTGGCACTGCAGGCCGCAGGTGCCACCGTGAGAAAAACTGTGAGAGTATTTGCTGTGGCCGTGGCCACAACACACAGAGCCGGGTGGTAACAAGGCCCTGCCAGTGCCAGGTACGCTGGTGCTGCTATGTGGAGTGCAGGCAATGCACACAGCGAGAGGAGGTCTACACCTGCAAGGGCTGACTCTGAGCCCTGCCAGCCCTGCCATGAGGGGGTAGGCATTGCACAAAGTGCCAGAAGAATTCTACACTTGCAGAGGCTGAGCCCTTGGGCCCTGCCAGCCCCACTGCAGGGGGTGTAGGCATTGCACAGAGTGCGAGGGATCTACACCTACACAGAGCGAGCCCTGCAGGTCCAGCCAGCCCTCTGTGTAGGGCATAGGCATTACATACAGCCTAAGGGGTCTATACCTGCAAGGAAGGAGGGGTGGCCCTAGCACATTTGGGTCCTGGTATGTGACAGCTGGTTGGCGTCTGGGTTGGCTCTTTCCTTTCTCAAAGGCCCAGAGATGGGGCTGGCCCTGTCTGGTCTTCTCAACCCTCCTGCTTATTCCTTGGGCCTGAACTTCCTCCCCTGACCCGAGAGCATTTCAGTAATGCTTTCTCAGTTGTCTCTGTCCCTGACATCCCAGTCCCAAAGTGTGGTCCTTGTCAGGGACCAGTGTGTTGACTGGCTCTCCATGCCTCTGGGCTCCCTCTGAGGCTTGGAGGGCAGGTGCACCTTCATGACCATGTGGCTGCCCATGGGGACCAGGACTGGCCCAGTAGCCTGGTACCAGCACTGTCTTCAGAGAGCCAAACCACTAGGAGAGAACAGCCACTCTGTCTCCAGGTCCTGGCCACTGGTCCTCTGACCCTGAGCACTTCCTTGGAGTATCAGTGACTTTTAAATTATTTTAATAATTATTTTATTATTATTATTATTTAACTAATATAGTAATTATTATTTCCTCCATCCCCTCACCTCCTAGGCTGCGGCTCTTTTCCTCTGACCTGCCTAAGCCCAGCCAAGCCAATCTGGAGGCCCCTCCTCCCCCCTTCTCTGCACTCCGTCCTCCCCTGCTTGCTCTGGTTTGAAACCACTAAATCAAGGTGATGTTTGGAAAGAAACAAAGCAAGGGAGCTTGGCCAGAGCCCTCAGGGCTTCTAGAAGCCCCTTCCCAACCCTACCCTACCCAGGAATCAGAGGCCCTTGGTGGCCCCTGCTCTGTACCCTACAGGCCCAGCATCTGGGTGACTGGATGCAGGTTCTGGGGTCCAGGGTGCTGGAGGTATGGGCATGGTGACAGAGGCAGGGCTAGCTTTTGAACATCCATCTCCTCAGGAAGTCACACTTTCTCTGTGTCACTGAGGGAGGCACAGAGGGACAGACACTTGTGCCATCGTCAGGCTGTCTTCATGGGGAAAGGTGGCTACACTGAGTTGGTGTTGTGTGTGCATGGGTCGTATGAGTGTGTGAATGTATGCACGCTGAGCTGGTGTGATCAGTATCTGTTTGGGCTGTGCCCCTCTGCAGCGTGGTGGCTCTTTGGCACCTAGAAAGTCTAGCCCTAGGCTTGTTTATGTAGGAACCCACTGGGTGTGAGCTGAGGTGTGGGTGGGCGGCTGGCATGGAGGCAGCAACTACTGAGGAAGGGGTGGCTCCCTTGGAGCTCCCGGGGTCCAGAATGCCCAGGTGGAGGGGACTGTGTCTTAAAAGAAAATCTATTTATGTGGATGTGGGCCACTGGTCCCTCTTGGATAAATGTAAATAGCAAAGTTTATTCTCCTGTGGTTCATGACAGCCCACCAGTGAATGCCACATCCCCAGGATGGGAGTACGGGTGGCAATGTGCAGCAGCGCCAGCCGGGAGGGGCTGGGAGGCTGGATGGCTGGCGGGCATATCCCTTTGCTCATCAGATACCTGCACCCAGCCACACCCTCCCCGCAGACCAGAGCCCCATTTCTGTTGGATCTGGGGAAAGGAGCCGACTGGTTCAGAGGAAGAATATTTTTATCGAATACCACATTTAGCTCTATGCTCTCAATATTCAGAAAAGTATTTTCTAAAACAAGGCAGACCGAAAATGTCTGCCAGCTGGTTTGTTCTGTATAAATATATATTAGAATGTCTTTCTGGATGAAGCAGCAACTCCTGCGGCCTGGAGCCTCTTTGACCTGCTTCTCTTCCATGGGGCAGTGGAGTAAACAGTCGCCCCGCTCCTGCTGGCCACCCAGGGTACACTGTTGGCCCAACAGGGTGATGGACACGCAAGGGAACCGTCTTTGTGTGGAGTCTTGTACAGACTGTGATTTCTCTACCTCATCTGTGTGGCGAGTAGGTGTGAACCTGAGTGACTGCAGAGAATGTATTTATTTAATAGCTTTGTGTAACAAAATCAGAAACAAATGGAAACACTAAATAAATGTATTTTAAATTATAGTCAACCTCAGTCTGTTGCCTTCATAGAGGTTCTGGGGAGCCTGCCGGGAGGAAGATGTGGAGAGGATCTGGGGGAAGGGGCGGAGGGACGGGGAAGAGGAGGAAAAGGATTGGGTAGGAAGAGGGACAAGAGGATCTGAGGGGGGAGGAGGAGACAAAAGGGGAGCATGTAGAAAGACTGTGCGACAAAGAAGATCCTCTTCTGAGGACCCAGAGTGGAGAGGCTCTTGCTAACCCTTGGGCTGATGGCCCTGGTCTGTGTGGTTATCCCTGGCCTCTGGTCTCTGCTTCCTGTGTCCAGGCTGGGTGGGACTAAAGGCACTTGGAAGACTCTAGTCCTGTGTCCTGGGAAGGTCCCCTCCTTTCAGAACCTCCAGTTTCTACCACGCTTTCCATGGTTTGGTACCTGCAGCCTCTTCTGTCTACCCTATGGCAAGGGACCTCCTGCCTCACGTCTGGGGTGTCCTCAAGGTAGGTCCCAAGCCTATTTAGTCTTTCCCTCACCTCCATCTCTCCCTAGAGGCCAGTCTGTGACCCTAGCCACTGTGACATACTCTGCTTGGACCCCTAATGACCTCTCTACCATCTCCTGTCCATGCCCTGCCCCTAGCCTGCCCTAGGGTTTGCCCCCAGAAGCATCAGGGCAAGGGCTGCCCACTGAGGACTGTGGGCTGCCATAGCCCAGACGACCAGGATGGGAGCTACTTGATGAGAACTTCCAGACTCCTCCCAGATCCCACCTCTGAGAGGATGAGGGCCCACCCATGTGGGACGTTCACTGAGCATCTGATCACAGGCTGAAGCCCACCAGGCAGCTGTGGACCCCTTCAGGTGTCCAGGGCTCCATGACTGAAGCAGCAGGGGTAGGAGTCAGGTTCCTTCCTAGAGTTGGAGGAAACTCAGAGCCAATCTTCTGGGTGAACACCATGCGCTCTGGCTGAATTCTGAGTGTATGAGTCTCTTGGCAGGCAGGACAAATCACTGTGCTCAGCCACCCACCTGGGCACACAGACAGCCCCTTGGTCATCCCCCTGGAATCCTGGCTGCTAGCTGTGCAGGCTGTGTCTCCTCTGTGTGTGTGTGTGTGTGTGTGTGTGTGTGTGTGTGTGTGTGTGTGTGTAGGGGGGAGCTGCATTCTGTTTGTTTCCATCTGTCTGTATAACTGTGACTGTACATGGCTGCATCCATGGGTTTGTCCCTGCATGTATGCATGTGTACAGATATGTACATGGTACGTGTCTTTGCATGTATGGTGTGTTCATATGTTCATGGGTACAGTGGGGACATACTCTGACTGTGGCTCACTTCCTAGTCCCCACACAGCAGTCCTTGTATAGCCATCTACCGTGATAGAGGTCTAGCCCCACCTCCATCTGGGCTTCTCAGCTGATGGGCTTACACCTCCCCATTAGGCAGGAAGAAAGGACTCTCCCATTGGGTCACTTCTTCGAGTGGGCCAAGACACCCTAGATCCTGCAAGTTGCTTCCTCCTTGGTGGGAGAAGAGGTTCCCTGGAGGTCCCCAGAAGATACAGTGTCCATCCCTACATGCTGGCAGGTGAGCACAGCCAAGGGTGGGCCCCATGAGGCTCAGAGCTGCTTTCAGTGGAGTGGCCCCAGGGTCCTTCACAGGTGGGGATATGCGCCCAAGACATGCAGGTGCTAAGGGCCAGCCAGGGCCCAGCCAGGCAGCTCCACTGAGCCGGGGCTGCGGCACGCATCTGGCTGCCCTCCCAGTGGGCTGGTGTGGGAGATGGCTGGAGGATTAGGTAAGAAGGCACTTAGGTAATGTCTCAGAAAGCCCTAAGTGTGCAGAGCAGCAGGAAGGTATTGGGTTGGATCCCGCCTGGGCTGTAAGGCTGACTTCAGACACCAGGGATGAAGGCAGAGAGGAGGCGGGGCAGAGGGGAAGGGATGAGGGAGGAGGGGAGAAAGAAAGGAGGAAGATGTACAGAGGAGAGAAGAGACAAAGGGGTGGGGAGAGGAGGGTGTTGGGCCCTGAGGCCAGGACCCCCAGAGTCAGCATAGGCTAAAGCAAGCCCTTGGTTGCTCTGAATGTGTTGTGGAGCTATGGGAACCCCACAAATTGTCCTCACTATCCCCAGGATCCTGGCCCAGTATACACATGATAAATGCTCCCTGCATGAACTGTTGTTGGGGTGGGAAGTGCTGACAATAGAGGTTATGGGCCCATTGGGTTGAGGCCTCTCCTGTGATCTGTCCTTTCTACACACACACACACACACACACGCGTGCGCGCGCACACACACACACACACACACACACACACACACACAGTCCCTATGCCCCATATGGCCCCCCTGAGCTTACTGGGGACTGAGCTGACCTGGGAGGGACTTGCTACTGCCTTTGTGTGTCTGGGACTGGGGTACAGGGACCCACTGGTGCCCTAGACTCCAGGACTGATTGGTGACCAGCCACAAAGGGACACTGTCCTGCCCTGTCGTGTTAGAGACCCAGTTCCTTCCTCCATCCACTGCCTGCCAGGGGTGCCACAGGGCTTTGTTCCTGGAAGCCTGGGGCCCCTAGAGGATCTCCCAGGGAGGTGCTCCAGGGACAGCAGGTGGAGCCCCAAGCTGCTACTAAGCCCTGTACAGGGATGATCTTGCCTCCATTTCCCAAACTCCACTTCTGGAGATGGGGTTGAGGGGCACAGCCCTTTTCTGACAGCCCAGGATTATGGCCTGGAGTCTCAGAACAGCCAGGTGTGGGCTGGAGCAGGGCAGTGGTCCTGTCTGAAGCTTTCAGGACCGCCCAGCGATGGAAGTGAGGGAGGGGTCCAGCGAGTTGCCAGGGAAACAAGAGCAAACAAACACTTCATCCCTTTGCAGTCCTGGTGGGGGGCCTGTGGCAATGACCTCATCTGCCCACCCAACCCTGCTCCCAAGGCCAGGATGAAGGTGGGGGGTCCCGGGCTGTTTGTATTGGGCCCAGATCCATGGAAACGGCTGGGGCTAGGGGTGCAGGGTTGCTCCTGCTGCAGGCTGTCAGTAGGCGGCAGGGATGAGGACCAAGAGGGAGAGAAAATGAGAGGGCAGAGAAAAGAGAAGAGGAGAGGGGAGAGAAAGGGAGGAGGGAGGAGAGAAAGGAGGAGGGGATTTCAGAGAGGAGGGGGGATGAGGCAGGAAGGGCAAGGAGGGCAGGACTGGGGTGTGGAGGGTCACTGACTATGTGGGACCAGAGAGGACCCTGGGAGCCATGACCGGGGGAATGAGTCCCTGTGTGAAGGAGCCCCAGCCCTGAGAAGCCCTGGGGAGCCCTGTGGAGCTGAGTGCTGAGGCTAGCAGGGCGGGTGTGGGGCAAGGAGCTGGGGGCAAGACCTCAGGATGTAGAACTGTCCTAGGGTGGCAGCCTTCTCAGGAGAGTTTCTCCCAACTTTAAGCCAAAGTCCTCTTTGTGGGAGTGGGTAGGGCAGCATTGTGGAAACACCCCATGAAGGACTGCCTTTCTGGGGCCAGGTCCAACAGACTGTACCCATAGTGGGGTCTTCTCTGCTCTTAGAACATGTCTCGTTCTTGTTTTTCTGTCCATTTAAAAGAAGTTGGAGACATGGATACTGTGTCTGTGCCTGTTTCTCAAATAGTCCAGGGCCAGGAGCATATGGACATGAGGGCAGCCCCATGTTCCCTTGGTGCTCTCTGGCTGTGTGATGTCATGTTCAGTGTGTGTCTCCGGTTGAGGACCTGACAAGGAAGTCCTTCACTGAGACCTTCACCTTCTCTGGTGAAGTTTACACCACACATCTGTAAAGCCCCATTCTGCCTTCTCCCTGGACCAGAGACTGTTGTCCAAGACTTTTCCTGCATTTGTGTTTTTAGCGTCACCAAAGATAAGTTCATTCAGTGTGCCATGTATTCAGTGTACTCCCTCATCTGGAGTGCTTGGGACCAGAGGTGCATTCAGAGGTTAGATGTATTTTGGAGTAGGGGGATACAAATAGGACTGTTGGCCAGGTATGGTGGTGAATGCCTTTAATCCCAGCACTCAGGAGGCAGAAGCAGGTAGATCTCTATGAGTTCAAAGCCAGCCTGGTCTAAATAGAGAGTTCCAGGCCAACTGGGACTGGAGACCCTGTCTCAAAAAGACCAAAAAACAAAACAAAAACAAATAGGACTGCTGAACAGTCCTAATGTGAACATTCTAAAATGAAATGTTGAGATGAACTGAAATCTGAGATGTTCCCATAGCTGAAACTTTTTGAACATCATGCAGGCCAGCGAGATGGCTCAGCAGCTTGCTATCAAAACTGACAGCCTGAGTTCCAGCCCCAGGACCCACATGATGAAAGGAGGGAACCAATTTCCCAAGTTGCCTTTTGACCTCCACACATGTGTCACAGCACATGCACCACCCTCCCTTCATACATACACTACGCACAACTTAAGTAAATGTATAATTTTTTTTAATTACAGAGCTTTGGCTTGAGGGCTTTTGGACTCCAGGTGCTCACCAAGGTTACTGAGAACTTGTACCCCACCCCCCATCTCCAGATTTGGTGGCACACCCTCACACATATCACCTTGGGTTATGCAAGGTTACTGAGAACTTGTACCCCCCCCCATCTCCAGATTTGGTGGCACACCCTCACACATATCACCTTGGGTTCTTCATTATCTCCATCTTCAGAGATTTTCTTACTCTGGATGTTTTAGGCAGAAGTGAACTGCAGTCTAACTTATGTTTGTAGATAGACCCCCCAAAAACCCTGACTCTGGCAAAAAAATATAAAAAAAATCAGGGCTCAGAAGAGAGTTCTAATAACCTCTAATTAGTATCATTAAGAAAACTGCAAGAATAATGTCTATGGAAAAGGAATTTTTAAAAAACACCCAAAGTCAACTCTTGGGAATGAAAATGCAGCTCATAAAAAGTTTTAGTGAATAAAAATTGAAAAGCTCGGACCAGCAAGATGATGGCTCAGCTGGTAAAGGCACTTGCTGAGCTTAAT